TACATCGTTCTTGTTTTAAAAAACAAAATCTAATTTTGCCCTTTTTTCACGTACGAAAAATGACAATCTTGGCTTTTTTCTCACCTGGGCTCTGTCAAAACAGCCTGCCGCTAATTAGATGTGACTTCAGGAAAGAATATTGGCGCCATCTGTGAGCTGAGACAATCGTTTTTTCACCTCTTGTTTTTGTCAGACCCGACAGTCAGAAAATCTTAATTATCTACATTGAAAATGTCCCCACTTTATTATCGTGGGTTTCCAATTCTTAATAGGTCAGAATCTGTATACCGTTCCACCGGTCACTCCCCTCAACCCAAAAGACACTTTTTCTCCGATTAAAAAAAAATTTCGTTTCTATTGTTCTAAAAAGAAATTCCCCTTTCTCCAATTTGACAATGAGTCTTTCCACGCAAAAGTAGGCTAGGTGCTTTGACCGATATTCTTATCAATTCCAATACACTGTCATCAAGCCTGGTTCTTTTCTCCCTCTAAAGGATTTTTCATTTCAAATAACAATTCTCTATTGTCTTTCAAAAATTCGGCCAACACGCAGGCCAAGATATCTTTCTGACACCTATCTTCGCTTATGACCGGGTCATGCATCATCCATCTCTCTTTCCTTTTTTTTTTCTTTCTTCCTCTTTTCTTTCCCCTTCCTTCTTCTTTCCTTAGGATCGTCTAAGTACAACTCTAGTGAATTATTTTCAACTCAATTATTTTCCGTTTAAAAAAAAATCAACAACCTGTTTAATAAACCGAGTAAAAAAAAAAAATTAAATCATATTTCTATGAATATTTCTAATAATGCAAGGTGCCACACTGTGAACGGTGTCGACGTTATTCGGGGCGATTTACATTGTAGTTTTCATAACATTTGTCGCGCAAATAATTTGGTATGTATAATTTTTAAAATATTATTTTTGCTTCTGTTTATTTTTAGAAATTTATCATTTTAGGCCTGGCGACGTTAGTAACGATACTATCTCCAGTAGCTTTCGTAGATATTTCATTTTTCTAAAGAATGGTGTTTAGTTAATTATTTAAACATTATTCGTACCAGTGCTGTGAAAACTGACAAGAAGGAATTTATTATAAGTAATATCTATTTTCATTGTAAGTTATTTTCGTTTAATCCAAGTACAATTTTTAATTTAAAATAGTTTATTTTTAACGTTAAAAATTGAACAGTCTACAATTTATAAAAACCTAAGGAAAGATATCCGTATATTATCCTTATAAACTTTACATATATACAGTCAAAATTATGCTTACTGCCAAAGTTCTCGAAGCACAATATTTTTGGTGTCAATTCTGGAAGATCTGAGTACAGTATTTTACGGCTTACAAGACGCACTTTTTCCAAGTGGAATGGAACACTAGAAGTCAGAAGAGAGTTTACACAAGCGAGAAGTGCAATAGAAGAAACACGTAGCATAGAACCTACGGTTATATCTAGCCATTGTATCTCTAAATTGTTGAGACCTTACCGCCAATCTAGTACTGCGTTTAAATTCATAAAGTCTAGGTGCCATAGAGGAATGTCCGTCGAAACAGTTACTATGAAATTATTTAAAGAAAAGGCACAGGGTGGCTACGTTATGTAAATAGAAACGAGACTGAAGCCGACAAGCCAGGTCAGGTCTAATAACATTGCAAATTTGACTTTGGATTTTATCAAGATTTTCTAAATATTTAGCAGTAGCCAAAATGATACTTGCCTGAGTGATTTCTTTGAAGTGGGTTTATTTCCAGTTATCTCCCTTTTTAATAACGTATTTAATTCTTGGGTGCTGCTGTCATTTACAAACCTAAGTCTTGCATATGAATAAATTCTATTCCAATATCTGTGGCTGCTCTCTCAAAGCCATCACATGCATATCTATGCCTTTGATATTATGGTGACAAATTATCTTAACGTAACCGTGCTGTCAAAATTGACGAAAAGAAGGAATTTATTACAAGTAATATCTATTATATTGTAAGTAATTTTCGTTTAATCCAAGTACAATTTTGTAATTTAAAATACTTTATTGTTAACGTTGACAATTGAACAGTGAACAGTTTATAAATTCCTAAGGAAAGATATTCGTATATTATCCTTATAAACTTTACATATTTACAGCCGAAATTAAGTTAACTGCAAAAGTTTCCACAGCGTAATATTTTTTTGCAAAGTTTTAAAGACATCAGTACTTATTTAATATTTCAACATTATTCGTGTAGATGGAAAAGAGACTGAAGCCGACAAGCCAGATCAGGACTAATAACATTGCAAATTTGATTTTGGATTGTATCAAGATTATCTAAATATATAGCAATAGCCAAATGTTACTCGCCAGATTGATTTCTTTGAAGTAGGTTTATTTCCAGTTATCTCCCTTTTTAATAATGTATGTACTTCTTGGGTTCTGCTGTCATTTACAAACCTAAGTCTTGCATATGAACACGTTCTATTACAATATTTGTAGCTGCTCTCTCAAAGCCATCAAATGGACATCTATGCATTTGATATTATGGTGACAAATTATCTTAACGTAACCGTGCTGACAAAATTGGTGAAAAGAAGGAATTTATTATAAGTAATATCTATTATATTGTAAGTAATTTTCGTTTAATCCAAGTACAATTTTGTAATTTAAAATAGTTTATTGTTAACGTTGATAATTGAATAGTGAACAGTTTATAAATTCCCAAAGAAAGATATCCGTATATTATCCTTATAAACTTTACATATTTACAGCCAAAATTAGGTTTAGTGCAAAAGTTCCCAAATCACAATATTTTTTTAACTTTTAAAGATATGAGTACCTTATTTCCTGGCTTAGAAGACACACTTTTTTTTCCCTAAAAATTACGCTGAGAATACGTGTTCGTCTTCATAGACGAATGTAAGGCAACGCCCAGGCTCAAAGTAAACTTAGACAGTCACCTAATTGGCTTGAGACGTGGATTTGTATGTCGAGTCATTACACTATAATGTTAGCTATGTAATAAAGCCTTTTATATGATGTAACCTCAGTTCTTAGCTGCTTCAAGTATTTCCAAGACTATAAGCCTTCCTGGAGCCCAGCCACAAGCTTAAACATGTTCTGTTTATTTGCAGCGGCGGGAGCCTTTCTGCTCTTGACTAAGTATGTCATTGCCATGCAAACAAAATCGGACGAGTGATTAACGTAAAGAAGACGTTCCACCAGTATGTGAGGGATGCATGATGAATGTGTTGTATGAGAATGACTTTTTTTTTCTTAGAAATTTCTTTTCTATATTAGGATGCGTCTAAGCAGGAAAATACGGTAATCCTTGACAGTAGATTCAATCTGTTCTTTCAGACTTTGCTTATTCCTCGTCCTACTAAGAGCAACGTATCATCAGATTTATTTTTCATTTAGTTTTTCTCAAGCTATTACCAAATTCCACAAGATGTGATCCAAATTGTAACATACAATAATTAACGACAAAATAAATATATAGAGAAACTCAGCTTTTTTTTTTTATTATCGTATGATTTGTATTTACGACGTATTTTTCTACATTAAAAATAGTAATAATTGCATTAGAATTCATTTTTAACCATGTAAGCGTTTCGAAAATCTCAGAATTAAAAAGTAAAAACGAACGGGAATAATCATTATGCCCGTTCGTTTTTATTTTTTAATTCTGCTGATAAATTCGAAACACTCGTTGTATTTATAAATTTTCTATTCTCTCGAATTTACTTACGTAATTATTTTAACTGTTATTCATTATTGCAGATTTCAAAAATGAAATTTAATATATCTTCTTCTTTTCTACTTTACAAAAACAAATTTGAAACAAAATATTTTTAATTAGTTCAGGCCGTTTCGGTGTCCCAGCCCGAATCTATGACACGGAAAAATAATTTATTCATTTTATGGAAATAATTTATTATTCAATCTAAAAAATTAACGTCATACCTTTTGGGGTTTCAAAAACGTAAATAATTTTAAATTAAGTTTTATTAAAACAAAACATATAGCGAGCCTTATTTTTTCGAAAATTAGTTTAAATGGAATATAATTAAATTCTTAAAACAAATATTTAACACGACTATCTTTGTTTGTAACTCATTTCTGTCTCTCATAAATTTTATAAGTTTTTTTTTTTTTTCAAAAACAAATTTAGGTGGGTCAACGTTATTTTACACACGTCCGTTAAATGCATGTCGTCTGGATTTTTTTTTTAATTTTTATTGTTAACGGCAAAAATTCTTACGGCATAAACAAAAACAAATATAAAACAAATATAGTATATTGAAAATTAAAAGTGAAAAAATTTCAAATCGTAGTTAAATAAAGCGTATTCTAACCTAAACACCCCACCAAAAATCTTTAAATATAAAAAATAGGAAAAAAATGATGTAAGAAATTTTGCCGTTAACAATAAAAAATTTTTAAACAGTCCAGACGACATGCATTTAACGGATGTTAAGTTTCATTGAAAAATACATCCCTACCCCCTCCGAACCGTAACAAATAACTGATACATCAAAACATAGACATAATGAAAGCGCAGACACCCCTTGTCTAGTGAAAGTGGTTTTATCTGTAACCTTGGAAACATGAATTATGATTTTAGCTGTGTCTTTAAAACCCAGTAATTTTAATAGTTACTCCAAAATTCGCTTAAGGATGAAATGGAACTAATGTCTTTAATTTAATTACAAAATTAAATTCTGAGTTTTTAGCTTCCATTTTGAAACATGGTTAGAACTGTGTAGCGGAAAAAACATATTTTAAATCAATTAATATATATATATATATATATATATATATATATATATATATATATATATAGTTTTAAGGTGTGCTATAATTATTGGATAAAGTGATCAATATCAGAGATAGAAACGTGTAAATATAAAAGTGAACATCAAGTCAACACTCAGAGGCGACAGTCTGTTTCATGCTGGACGCAATCCTAGGCTATATATATATATATATATATATATATATATATATATATATATATATATATATATACTACACACACATAGATAGATAGATAGATAGATAGATAGATAGATAGATAGATAGATAGATAGATAATATTAGTGGTAAATATATACATACATATGCAATCATATATCTAAAATATATATACATACATACAAGCACATACATATATATTTGTATAAAAAATAATTCCAAGAGGCTAGAATCCAGGTAGAACTCAATGTCCAGGACAGAGTAAGGATATAATAAAAGGGCTTAAACACTAATGTTAGTAATTAGTGTTTTCTGCCTTTTATTATTATATATATATATATATATATATATATATATATATATATATATATATACACATAGATAGATAGATAGATAGATAGATAGATAGATAGATAGATAGATAGATACGTGAATCTGTGAATGATTCTATTGAGAAAAAAATCTGTTATTAAATGACAACAAATAAAAGACCCAGACAAAATGCAAACACACTTGTGACAACCTGTATTTAGCCACTGCCAATTCTCCAAAGCTAAAAGTGCTTAGAAGATTTGTTTAAGAATAAGAATAACAACGGAAGCCACATTACGGCGAAGGAACCTAACTGAAATCGAGATGCCAGATCAGCTCCAATGAAATTGCTGAATCTTCTTTGGATTTTATCAAGAATCTCTACAAGTATAACAGTAGAAGCCATACCCATACATGGCAGCAATATTCAAATCACGGTGTTCTTGTTGATATGAAATAATTAAGTTTTGGAATGTTTCTTTGACGTTGTACACCAATTGCAAATGGTGACTGCAACTCTCAAGTCATTTCAACTTCTCTGTAATCATCAAGGCGAAAAGACGAAATGGTATGCAAAGCTCCAATTTCTCAACCTTCATGTAAAACACCAATAGGTCCAGATAAACCAATTTTCTCGCGTAACGATCACTCGTGTTGGTCAAAGAAAACATTTTTATGGTTGTTGTTTAATTCCATTCCGTCACTCTTCTTAGAGATTTGATGCAGACATTGGCCAATTTCCGCTGCGTATCCTGCCTGCAAAGAAACAGCCGACTAGGCTTAATTCTTTCTCTTTCACTCTTCGGAATTGGGGTCTGTGATGACGCATAACGGCACCGCAATTCAGATTATTGCATGATCGGCGACTTAACGTCAACCCGAGTGTATTTGCCTGTAAAGCAAAAGGGGCTTATAGTTGAATTCCAGTATGAGAGGAGAGACAAGAGAAAATAACTGGTTCCAGAAAAAAAAAAAGATTTATTTAGATCTACAAAGGACAGGAAATTGTGGAGAGCCATGATCACCAACGCCCTGAAGGGACAAAACATATAAAAGAAGAAGAATGATCGCCAATTGGTAAATAAACATGCTAAATGGAAGATGATACCAACAGAAAGTCACGGTATATGATTTGGTTTTGGTTTGGTTTGTTTTGTGGCATATCAATGGGTTATTTAATGCTGACAATATTTTCATTATTGGTAATATTTTTTTTTCCTAAAATCTATTTCGAGTAATTTTTTTTTCCTTCAAAAATCTATTTCTGGTAATAATTTTCCTTTCAAAAATCTATTTCTGGTAATAATTGTCTTTCGCTGGTAATATATATATATATATTTTTCAAAATGTATTGCTGGTAATATTTTTTTTTCAACATGTATTGCTGGTATTATTTTTTTTTTTCAAAATGTATCGCTGGTAATATGTTTTTGCCAAAAATATATTTCTGGTAATAATTTTTTTTCAAAGTATTTCTGGTATTAAAAACTATTTTTTACATAGTGTTTTGACTGCAGTTTGGGGTTTAACTATTTGCCCATAACTGGGACCCTTACAGGTGCTACCACCCTGGTTCAGGGTGAACCTTGGAACACCAGAAATTAAGAGGTGTTTCCACGCTCCTCAAAACCTCATCAGAGGCCTTGCTGTTCGACGTAGTTTATCGTCTTACCTAAAAAAAATTATGATGCATATTAAGATTTAGTACGATACCTACAAAGTTCTCAGCAGTTGTAGCCTTGAGTCAGACAAAACAGTCTTTAAGAAACTAATTTCATTTTTATCTCTAGCACTCGTGTATTTTAAAAATACACAGATTTATCGAAAGTGTATGACAATTTGCGTTGTGCATATTTTCAAAATTGAGTCTCTTCTTTTATAGTCGATATATCTCCAGGACGTTGGAGATTAAGGCCCTCCATTACTTCTTTTCCTTTCTATCACTCCTAGTCCCTCTTCTCCCATCAATTTACACAAGCTAGTGATGTAGGTTACTCACTGACTCACTCTGTTCCTTATACTGTACAACTTTTTTTCATTTTCGGAATGAAAATTTGCATGATTCCCACCAAATTCTATGTGATAAAAAATACATTTAAAATTAAAAAAAAAATCAGAGAGATATTTAAAGGGAGATAACCGCGATTACGAATTCAGAACATAATAATTGATAACTCTCTGCTCCAATTTGCAAACCCTAGTTATTATATTCTTAATACTTGATATAATGCAAAAATATCACAGTGAATAAATCGATCAATAATTACTTATACGAATTTGTACACCACCTCAGCCATGCAATTACAAGTAATCCATAATAATGATTTAAAATTTGAAATCATTTTTTGGCATATTTTTAACTATTTCTAAATCTTTGATTCTCTGTCAGTCATTCTAAAGTCAAAATATTTTTATTGATAACTCTCTCCTCCAATTTGCAGACTATAGTTACTATATTCTTAATACTTGATATAATACAAAAACATCACAATGATAAAATCTGTCAATAATTATTTCTGACAATATATACTGCGACTCATACATACAATTACAAGTAATCCATTGAAATATTTTAAATTTTGAAATCATTTATCTTCGACGTGATTTTTTAAAACTATTTCTGAATCTGTGATTACCTTTCAATCATACGCCTACAATCCTCTTCCGATGCGCCTAGGGGGTGCGCTGCACTGTTTGGCAACGACTGTCCGAGACTAAGCCCTAATTATTTACAAACACAGATAGTAAGTTTTGGTTATTGAATCTACTAATAGAAGAATGTGAATCAGCTTCCTCTTCTGACGTCAACGTAATGATAATGGTCGGAGGTATGCTGACGACACTGGATATTACCTTGAACAGAAAATCAACAAGGACCCTCATATGGTCATCTTACCCAGTAGATTGTTTCCTTAATATGATTATTATTTATGCATTAATCAGTTAGAGCAACACAGTCGGTCCAAAAAATATGACATCTGGCACGACACAAATGCAGAAAAATTTCAAGAAAGAAATGAGAGTTCTCGTCCTTTTGAAGACCATTGTTTCCCAAACTTTTATTCTCTGGGTCGCATTTTCGGAAAAATGGCAAAAAGAGTCAAAGTGAGCCTTAAAAAGAGATAACCGAAGATTCGAAGTCAGAATTTATCATTGATAACTCTCTGCTCTAATTTGCAGACTATATTCTTCATACTTGATTTAATGCAAAAATATCACAGTGATAAAATCTGTCAATAATTATTTATAAGGCTTTGTACTGCACCTCAGATATGCAATTACAAGTAATCAATAATAATGTTTTCAAATTTGAAATCATTTATTTTTGGCATAATGTTTTTGAAACTGTTTCTAAATCTTTGATACTTTTTCAATCATTCCGAAATCAGAACATTATCATTGATAACTCTCTCCTCCAATTTGCAGACCATAGTTACTTATATTCTTAATATTTGATATAATGCAAAGTTATCACAATGATAAAATCAGTCAATAATTATTTCTAGGTATACTATGACTCATGCATATAATTACAAGAAATCCATTGAAATATTTTAAATTTTGAAATCATATATTTTTGGCATAATTTATTTGAAACTTTTTTTTAAATATTTGATTTTCTTTCAGTCATTTCGCGTCACCAATTATCCTCTTTCGTCGCATCTAGGAGGCCCGCCACACCTATTAGGCGCGCCCCTCTTTTTGGGAACCACTTTCATAGAATATGCCCTGCTTATTTACAAACAGATATGACGTGATGGTCACTGGTATTTAAAGCCTTCCATACCAAATCCTAAGCGAATCTACTAATAGAAGAATGCGAATCAGTTTTCCCTCTTGAGGCCAATGTACTGATAACGGTACGGGGGGTATGCTGACGATATTTTATAGTTGGAATAAGAATGATATTGAACAGAAAAACAACAAGGACCCTCACCCAGTCATCTGACCCACTAGATTGACTCCTTAATATTATTATTTATGCTTTGATCACATTCGGTCAACTAAATCTTACGTACGACGAGAACACCAATGGTTCCTATACTTTTATTCTCTGGACAACTTTTTCGAAAAAATGGCAAAAAGGGCCAAAAAGAGCGTCAAAGGGAGATAACCACGCATTCGACGTCAGAACATTATCATTGATAACTCTCTCCTCCAATTTGCAGACCATAGTTACTATATTCTTAATACTTGATTTAATGCAAAATCATCACATTGATAAAATCAGTCAATAATTATTTCTAACTATAAATACTGCGACTCACACACACAATTGCAAGTAATCCATAATAAGATTTTAAATTTTGAAATCATTTATTTTAGACATATTTTTTTAGACTATTTCTAAATTTTTGATTCTCTTTCAATCATTCCGCGTAGCCTATTATTCTCTTCCGACGCAGTTTCATTTTTGTTGAAATTTTTCTTAAACCTGCTCTCTCCATGGTATTCTCACCATCATTCTGTAGAAAGACATTTCTATTGCTTCAAGTCTCTTCCCCAGTAGATAGGAGAATTGTTATTACGTAACAGCTCAGTATACCGTAGTCTGTTTCTAATGAAATCTGTCTTTCTCAATACTCCGCTTAACTATTACATCCTTAGCCATCCCAATGTATTAAGAAACAAAGATTTCCTTGGAAACAAAGAAAAGAGTACTAAATTGTTATGTAATATCAGTCCAACTATATGGCAGCGAATGCTGGACAATCTTATCACAAATGAAGAAAAGTCTTTAAGCAACAGAAATGTGGCTCTACTGAATGATGCTGAGAATAAAATCCTTCTCCAGGGGCACCGTTTGTGTTACCTGAAATCGTCTCTTCATTTGTAAGAAAGGTGAGAATAAAAGCCTTTGAAATCGGAATGTGCTTCAAAATCTGCTAATATTTAATTAGATAAATTTGATTCACGATTGACTACCATGTCGTGGCGTCGTGACTAATGAGTTAGTCGCGTACATCAGTAATAACTGAGGAATTTATATCCTCACTGGGGGTGTAACATTATTACTTTTGTATTTGACAATACTCAGAAGACGTGCTGTAATAAAGAATTCAATTCTCACTGGAAAATTGAAAGAGTGTGATAGATAGATAGATAGATAGATAGATAGATAGATAGATAGATAGATAGATAGGAAAAGAGTAGATAGATAGATAGATAGATAGATATGGACGTAATAAGATAGATAGATAGATAGATAGATAGATAGATAGATAGATAGTGAAGAAGCCGTAAATATACAAAATGTATACACTGCCAAATAGAATATTTTCTATTGCTATTTTTCTATCTATTCTTTAAATAAACTTTCCGTTTGCACAGATTCCCAGATACTTTAGGCAAATTTGGGTCGACTGAAAGGATTTTTGGTATAAAAGACCTTGTCTAAGATTGCTCGCTCTTCCTGATTGTTGCTTATTTGCTTGGAGGAAATTGAGATGTGAAGAAAATTGTCCATACGCAAGCACTTATTTGTTTTAAAAATCTTTCGGGTATTTTCATGTGTTGAGCGCACGTGTTCGTCGCTGATTCTGTCGTATCTTCTCCGCCCGTTTGGTTTTCCTGGGGTTAAATTATGAGCGAGAAGAAGCCGGTTGCACTAGTGACACGTTCGTTCCTTTCAGGGACTTGGGAATCTCGTTGTATAGAACAAATATTAGAATACGTTTTAGCAGGAAAGGAAACAGAAGTAAAATAAACAGCAATGGAGTTAAGAAAGGGTGAAAAACAGGAGGAAATAGAATGAGAAGAAGAAGAAGAAGAAGAAGAAGAAGAAGAAGAAGAAGAAGAAGAAGAAGAAGAAGAAGGAGGACAAGAATTTGATGAAGAAAAAGAAGAAATAGATGAAGATGAAGAAAAAGAAGACAAAGACAAGAAGAAGAAGGGAGAATTAGAGATATAGAAAAGAAGAAACGATGAAGAAGAAGAAGAAGAAGAAAAAAGAAGGAAAGAAAAAGAAACAAGAAGAAGAAGAAGAAAGAAGAAGAAGATGGGAAAGAAGACAAAAAGAAGAAGAATGGAAAAAAGGTAGAAAGAAACGTTATAAGAGAAGAAGAAAAAAAGAAAACAAGAAGAAGAAAAGAAGAAGAAGAAGAAGAGGAGAAAAAGATGAAGAAAAACAGGCAGAAAGAAGAAGAAGAAGAAAAAGATGAAGAATGGAGAAAAAGAAGAAGACAAAGAAGAAGAAGAATGGAAATAGAGAAATGGAGAAAAGAAAAACTAATGATGTAGAAGAAGAGTTGAGAAAAATGATGAAAGAGAAAAAGAAAACAAGAAGAAGAAGAAGAAGAAGAAGAAGAAGAAGAAGGGTTGAAAATGATGAATAGGGGATTCAAGTGGACAGATAGAAAAAAGCATAAGAATTTAAAGGAATTAAAACAGTGGGAAGAGCAGAGAGGAAAAACAGATTTAGTAGTGGAACAAGCCAACGTGTCTGACAGAATGACAAAAATTTCATCAAAAAAGATGATGATGATGAAGAAGAAGAAAATGAAGAAGAACAACAACAACAACCAAAAAGAAAAGAAGAAACCCAAGAAGAAAAAAAGAACAAGTAAAGGAAGAAGGAGAGCAAAAACAAAAACGATAAAGATGCTTATTAGAAAGGTAGCAAATGATGAAGAAGAAGGAAATGAAAGGAGAAAATATGAACCAGAACAAAGATGAAAGAAAAAAAAAGACGAAGGAGAGCAAAACAACAATAAGGAGCTGAATTGGAGAATGACAGAGACGAATGTAAATGAACAAAAAAGTAGGGAGAGCAACGATGAAAAATAAAGCAGATTTAGAAGAGGAATAAAAGCTAATGTGTTTGACAGAATAACAAAAAATTCTTCAAGGGAAAGGATACGAAGAAGTAAAAGAAAAAGGATAGGAACAAATTAAAAAGAAGAAAATAGAAGACGAAGGAGAACAAAATCAAAACAACAAAGATTCTGATAAGAAAGGAATTTTAAATGATGAAGAAAAGAATGGAGTGGAATGGAAGATGAAAAACAAAAAACAAGAATAAAAATAAAAGAAAAAAGATGGCGAAAGAGAGCAAGAAAAAGAACAATACGAATACTGATTAGAAAAGTAGAAAGTTAATAATGAAGAGAGATGAGTACAACGGCAGAAAGAAGAAGAAGAAGAAGAAGAAGAAGAAGAAAAGAAGAAGAAGGAAGAAGGAGAAGAAGAAGAAGAAGAAGAAGAAGAAGAAGGAGGAGAAGAAGAAGAAAAGCTTAAAGAAGAAAAAAGAAAAAGAAGACTGATTAAAACGGTAGAAAAATGGTGAAGAATAAGAGAAGCGGAAGAAGAAAAAGAAGAAGAAAAAGAAAATGAAGAGCCAGAAGAAGAAGATAAACGTGGACAGGAGAAAAAAAAAAGATTAAGAAAAACAGGCAGAAAGTTATAAGGAAGAAGAAAAAGAACGAGGAGGACAAGAAGAAGAAGGACAAGAAGTTGAAAGAGATATAGAAGAAGAAGAAGAAGAAGAAGAAGAAGAAGAAGAAGAAGAAGAAGAAGAAGAAGAAGAAGAAGAAAAGAAGAATGAAAGATGGAGAAAAGAAATAATGAAGATGGAGAAAAGAAGAAGAAGAATGGAGATTAGAAAGGTAGAAATCTAACGATGTATAAGAGAGTTGAGTAAAATGGCGGAAAGAAAAAGAAAACAAGAAGAAGAAGAAGAACGTGGACAGGAGAAAAAAAGATGAAGAAAAACGGGCAGAAAGTTATAAGGAAGAAGAAAAAGAAAGAGGAGGACAAGAAGAAGAAGGACAAGAAGTTGAAAAAGATATAGAAGAAGAAGAAGAAGAAGAAAAGAAGAAGAAGAAGAAGAATTTGAAAGAAGAAGAAGAAGAAATAGATGAAGATGGAGAAAAGAAGAAGACAAAGAAGAAGAAGAATGGAGATTAGAAAGGTAGAAAGCTAACGATGTATAAGAGAGTTGAGTAAAATGGCGGAAAAAAAAAAAAAAACAAGAAGAAGAAGAAGAACGTGGACAGGAGAAAAAAAAAAAAGATGAAGAAAACGGGCAGAAAGTTATAAGGAAGAAGAAAAAGAAAGAGGAGGACAAGAAGAAGAAGGACAAGAAGTTGAAAGAGATATAGAAGAAGAAGAAGAAGAAGAAGAAGAAGAAGAAGAAGAAGAAGAAGAAGAAAAAGAAGAAGAAGAAGAAGAAATGATGAAGATGGAGAAAAAAGAAGACAAAGAAAGAAGAACGATTAGAAAGGTAGAAATCTAACGATGTATAAGAGTTGAGTAAAATGGCGGAAAAAAAAAAAACAAAAAGAAGAAGAAGAACGTGGACAGGAGAAAAAAGATGAAGAAAAAGAAAGTTATAAGAAGAAGAAAAGAAAAGAAGACAAGAAAAGAAGATAAAGATATATGGAAGAAGAAGAAGAAAAGAAAAGAAGAAGAAGAATGGAGATTAGAAAGGTAGAAAGCTAACGATGTATAAGGAAGTTGAGTAAAATGGCGGAAAGAAAAAAAACAAGAAGAAGAAGAAGAAGAAAAGAAGAAGAAGAAGAAGAAGAAGAAAAGATAAAGATGGAGAAAAGAAGAAGACAAAAAGAAGAAGAAGGAGATTAGAAAGGTAGAAAGCTAACGATGTATAGGAGAAAAATGGCGGAAAGAAAAATAAAACAAGAAGAAGAAGAAGAAGAAGAAGAAGAAGAAGAAGAAGAAGAAGAAGAAGAAGAAGAAGAACGTGGACAGGAGAAAAAATGATGAAGAAAAACAGACAGAAAGTTATAAGGAAGAAGAAAAAGAACGAGGAGAACAAGAAGAAGAAGGACAAGAAATTGAAAGAGATATAGAAGAAGAAGAAGAAGAAGAAGAAGAAGAAGAAGAAGAAGAGAAGAAGAAGAAGAAGAAGAAGAATTTGAAAGAAGAAGAAGAAGAAATAGATGAAGATGGTGAAAAGAAGAAGACAAAGAAGAAGAAGAATGGAGATTAGAAAGGTAGAAATCTAACGATGTATAAGAGAGTTGAGTAAAATGGCGGAAAGAAAAAGAAAACAAGAAGAAGAAGAAGAAGAAGAAGAAGAAGAAGAAGAAGAAGAAGAAGAAATTGATGTGAAAAAAAAGGTTATGGGCGAAGGAAAGGTGGATATGTGTTAAGAAAACAAGAACCCACGAACACTGAAGAAAGAAGAGTAAATGGAATTTAAAAAAAAAAATGGAATAAAAACAGAAAAAATTCCTGATCCTGAATGAGAGGTGAAAAGACCGGGGAAGAAAGAAAATCTAAAATCAAAGAAAACGTAGAAAAATCAGGAAAACTTAAAGCAAGAGGAAAATGAGAAGAGACAAAAACGAAATTCATGAAAAGGAAAAAGAAATAGCAATGAATAGGTTTGTGTATTTTTTATCTATGATAATGTATTATCATAGAGAATAAATAAATAAATAATTTTTATAAATAATTTATGAGAACAAAATATATACCTATCTATCTATCTCTCTCTATATATATATATATATAGTTCTTTGGAGGTTTGTTTTTTTATAAATCCAGTTTTTTTTATTTTTTTTATTCAAGGTCTTCCCTCATCGACTTTTCTATTTTTTTATTTCATTGCTTAGATTTTCTATTTAAAATAGAATATATATATGTGTGTGTGTGTGTGTGTGTGTGTGTGTGTGTGTGTGTGTGTGTGTGTGTGTGTGCGTGCGCGAGAGAGAGCAGGTATAAGAAAGTGACAAAATGGCAGAAAAAATTGCAACGAAATGATAGTGGAGCGATTTTCCCGCTAAAAGTGATCGTAAGACTTGCTAAGCCGATGAATATCTTCCATTTTGATAGGCTCAATTCAAACGCCTTCTGTCCTTCCTTCATGCTCTTATTTCTTTTCTATTCCACCTTTCAATAATCTCTGGCAATACAGAAAAGTCCTTATTTGCATTTTATCTTCTTATAATCTCCAACAACCTCGTAAATAAATAAATCTGATAGGGATTGTCAAGACTGTAGCAAGATTTTGTGAAATACACTTACATTTTCAAAATTTTTCCACGTATAAGTTTTAATCCATGCATTATCAAAAATGGCTATTAATTCTTAAGCAGCTTTTCTGTCAAGATATTACAATTGTCTATCATCGCATGTCTCACATCGCTCTTCTACGATAGTTAAGTAAGCAGTGTGGTACAGGAATATAGTTGGTGTTGAAATTTAAACACGAATTAGTTATTCTGAGCTTCTTGTTTCGTGACAGCGTCGTTATCCTTTTAGCTACCAAGATTTTCCCAGCGAAGTCGGTTAGACGTGTTAGAATTGTTGTGTATAATTATTTATTCGCTGTCCCACACAGAAAGATGTGGCACAAGGCCGATTTTAAAGCGGGGTATCCGAACCCGTTGGCTCGGCCAAAAATTCACTATATACCACGTAAAAACGGAGTCAGTTTCCCGAGAAAATACTCTGCCCTTCCACAGAGCCTCATCTGGGGCTCACTCCCAGATATAAGCCAGATCGACGCTCTTTTTGAACGATGAAGAATTGCGGTCTGGGCTGTTGCGATAAAAAGCAACTGAAATTAAGAAATATTAGTCAAAATTAACACTGAGTATTGTATTAAAATTTCAGATACAATTAATCCTATATTATAATAACTATATTTGATATTAAGATTAAAGATATAAGCGTTTCGTTCTAAATAACTAAATTCCGCTGAAAATTTTTAAGATTAATATAAATCGTGGAACAAAATAGTCATAATGTGGAGAAACTGAAGTTTGATTAACCCTTTAAGCTGCCGTAATCCCTGGCAAAAATTTTTCAAGAAAAAAGTATTAGTGAAATGGATTGAACAATCAAATGTGTAGACTGGTTGAAGAAGGTCACGTTAAGAAAAAAGACAAAAATATTTTTATTTATTGAAGCCATAAAAAATAAACAAATATATGATCTTGTGAACGATCGAAGCTACAGATTCTTACACTTGTAATCGCTAACAGTAGTTCATCTGTTCATATATTCGCGTATAGCACGATTGATTGATTTGATTTCAACCTCTATGGGTTATTTAAGGTCGAAATTTATATAATTTACACACATTCGTACGACTTCAACTAATGATAAAATATATTGTTGGTCATTTTATTATAAATACGGACTCTTGCTCATTTTTTAGATAAAAATATATTTCTGGTATATTTATTATAGAAATGCATTTACATACTTTCATAATGTGTAATTTTTTTTTTTTTGTGTGTGGGGGGATTACTATTTGCCCATTGCTAGGAACCTAACAGGTGCTACCACCCCAGATCATCTTGGACCTGGGAACAACAGCAAATAAGACGTGGTCCCATGCTCCGCAGTAGTAGGCAAGGAGTCAGTCAGTCAGGCGTGCAAGTGAGTCAGTAGTTCAAGCGGAGTGAGTCAGTAGTTCAAGTCGAGTCAAAAGTCGAGTCAGAGGCAGTCCGAAACAGAGTTGCGTTCAGACAATTACTGCAAGACATTGGAATAGTGATACTGGTCGAGACTACATTGTTCTCTCTACTAAACCTGATTGTTCATACTAACACTTCTACTTCTCTGTCTATATTCCTGTTTGTAATATATCTGTGTTATTCCATACCTGTGTTCGAGTTCATCTTATTTGGCTCTACCTCGGACTATCACTGTGGTACAAGGAACCGGACTATAACATATATGATCTTGTGAAAGATCGCAGCTACAGATTCTTACACCTGTAATCGCTAACTGCTGCCTGTGCCGTCTTGATGGCTCATCTATCGCATATACTCGTGTATAGTACGATTGATTTATTTGATTTCACTTTCACTCCAAGTAAACCCTTGCGTCTCAGTGGCATTATCGCCTTGATTCTTGTGAAATCGTTAATGAATGTTAAAACGTCAAGCTCAGTTTTGATTAGTTGATTTGTTTTGTACGCCTTACCAACATTTTTCAGGTTATTTAAAGTCAGCAAATATTTTTTTTTAAATTATAAGAATGAAAACTCCTTCAAGTTTTACTACTTAATACGCACCTGGGAGAGACGAGGTATGCCCATGCCTTTCCCAAGTGTATTTGCCCGTTAATGAATATAACGACACCAACTGGGATTGAACCTGGGCTCCCCGATTTCTAATTCCGAGGCTTTATCCATTACACTATCCATGCATCAAAACACCTGCTATTCCTAAGAAGTTATCCATCGAGCTGCTTGACATGGCTGAGCTTTTGGGATCGTACGGGGACAGGTGTTTCAACGTGATATGGCCATAAGCCGAACCCAATTCAAATAATACTCTAGTCGTCAGAGTTCATTTTCAGCTTTCAAATCGCAAAGTAGTTTAAGAAAATTTATTTATAAGTAAATGCAAAAGATGTCGACCATAGAATAATACATTCAAATAACAATATTGTTGTAGCATTCCTACGGACGATAATGGGTATGTCCCCATTCATATAAATGCAGTAGTAAATACTGTATGTTGGTCTTCCGTTGGAGATTCGTCTCCAGCTGTGCTGATCAAACTCTCTGCCTGGTGGCAAAGAGTTTCCCCAAACTAGGCTATATTGAAGGGCAGAGTCTCATCTCGGGGAAACAGCTACCCGATCCCGTTTTATACGGGTTCTACGGGGAATTTTTGGCCGAGCCTACGGGCTCAGATACCCCACATTAAATTCGGCCTTGTTCCACAACTGACCGCGTGTGACGGTTGGTAGATACCCTGTAGTTGGAGATTCGTCTCCAGCTGTTCTGGTCAAATTCTCTGACTCCGGGCAGAGAGGATCCTCAGACGAGGGTATGTCGAAGGGCAGCATCTCTTCTTGGGAAACAGCTACCCGACCCGTTTTATATGTGGCTTATGGGGAATTTTGATCGAGCCTACAGGGCACGGATAACCCACATTAAATTCGGCCTTGTGCCACAACTCACTGCGTGGGGCGGTTGGTAGATATCCTGCAGTTGGAGATTCATTGACTCACTTCTAGCAGTTAACTACTTCTACGCGCCGCTGGCGAATCTTATATGTGTTGTTCTTGTCCTAAGTATTATCCTTCATTACCAACCTTCCTTTGATTTTTCTATTCAGTAACCTTCCCAATGTTACAACTAATATATCCTGTAGTATTAATGATGTAATGAATATACATACACCTGGGTTCCCCCTCACAGTAATATGATTGGCTGGTGTCAGCCATGTTGACCATGTTTGCCGCAGTCTCTGAATATGGAATCCAGTGAAGTCCGTAATCTGTTCAATATCAGAGGTCGGCAGTGAAGATTCAGAGAAAGTAGCGGTTGTTAAGTAATTCTTTAAGTCTTCGATATCAGGTTGGCAGTGCAGACAATTTGGGAGAAAAAAAATGACTGCCTTTATACACGTCGCATTGAATATTTTGAGCTTTCTGATTGGTTAACCCTTCTATTGGTGAACTATAAAATGAGTCAGCCAATTTAGGCTAGATCACTAGTACAGAAATACCCAACAAACTGCAACAAGCCCTAAATACAGACTGATGTGGGGGTACAGGGAAGACGCTTATTGACTACGCCTATAGTCTTCGCCTATTGCCTACGCCTATTGCCTACCACTACGACGAGGACCAGTCCATCACGGTTACCTGCTAGATTGTTCTACTCTGTTACAGTAGTCAATAACCACTTTGCTACTTTGAACAAATATATCCCTTTCCGGGGACATATCAATGAACAATTTCATCACTTCCAAAGACAGAAGTAAATAATATATAACCCGACTCCAAGCTGAAACAACTAGACATGACACATACTGATGCTGGTCATCAAATACAACAAAGTGTCTAAGTTTCGAATGTTATACCAGGTGCCTTCTACAGTTCAGTTAATGTGGCTTGTGTTTGGCGCATACAATTTTGTTGGTTCGCTTCCTTTACCGGAATATATGTCGTCGCGCCGATTCCGTTTGTGGTAAAATGACAGTCCGTGGCCTTTGTTGATCATACCGTTTCTTCAGCGTAGGGAAATCTTACTGAAAAAAACCCCGAAACGTTCATTGTATCGCTCTAAACAATTTTTCTCGTCAGAAAATGTCTTATATATTTATTAGCCTACCAGTCGACTTTACTTTGAATATTGCTGCCAGATCGGATCTGGTGCTCCTGCTATATTCTTCATAAAATCCAAACAAGAATCTGCAATATTATTTATCCTGACGTGGTATCTCGGCTTCAATCACTTTCCTACCACTGTAATGTAGCTTCTCTGTGCCTTTTCTATAAATATTTTCATAGTAATTGTTCTGTGGAACTTTCTTCAGTGGAGTTTCATTTATAAAAGTTATTATTTTATTAACCAACAAATTATATATATAGTGAATGTAGTT